GCTTTAAATAGAAACAAGATAGAGAGCTGCGGTATTCACCGTTGGAAAGAGGAAATGAAGATGCGTCGAATCATATATTATAGGCTTTTCCAATATTGATTTCTGAAGTATTTTTGTTCAATTTTCTAAGTGTCAGAAAAATGTTTTTCTTTATGGAAAAAGGAAAAAGCACAAAAGTGAGCTCTTTTCACAGATTTTCCTAGAAAATTCTATTAAAAACTCGACTAAAATGCATATTATTCATCTCAACCTTTCGCACTTTGTAGATCTTCGATTAGTGGGTTGAATTTACACTTGATAATTGAAAATTCACTGTAAACAACTTATCAAATATGTTTGTTCTTAAAAAGGCCAATTGAGAACCTTACAAGAAACAAAGCAAGCAAACCTATATGATTCGATGCGTCTTCATCTCCTCTTTCCAACGGTGAAAACCGCAGCTCTCTATCTTGCTTTTATTAAAAGTTATTCAAAAATACTCACTCGTATTTTTTCAAAATTAGTATGAATACAACCGGCACATAACCAGCCGAAATAGGTTTTAAAGATAATTTAATATTATGATATTAGTTGAAGTACCATCAAATAGCATAGAAAGACAGAGCTTTTTTTTCTCTATCAGATTATATAGACGAAAGTTACTTTAAGCCTACTGTACGGTATTAAAGTGTCACTGCCCATACTTTTGTTATGCCCTAAGTAATTTTCTAAAAACTATTTGCTAGAGCTGAGTTTGTAGAAGCCAATGTTCATGCTAAAAAATCGTAAATACAGTTTTTCATTTTGAAAATCGAAGCGCACCAAGCAAATCCAGCAGATAAAAGTTGAAAACTTAAATTAAGTAGAAAATGCTTTTTTTCATAGCAAAAATTAGGAATAACACTTTTTGGGCTGCTTTATTACGGTTTGGATACCCAGTAAAAGCACGCCAGTCGATCAACTGATATAGCAATGTATATTCTTGATGAAAACTAATCTAAGCGTTATGACTTTCTGGCTGTTCTAATTTCGTCTGTGTGCCGCTCCACTCAGTCAACTTTCCAGTCTTTCTGACATGCATTTGGCTCTCTAATTTTCCGTTGATATCGCCGTGATTATCTTAGTATGATACTTAGTATGATACACTAGAGACGGTGTATGATTAAGAAAATTGATCTCAGCATGTTGTACAAATGAAAAGATTACCATAGACTTTTGTGATTTTGACGGTTATGATCGATAAAATGATCTATCGGGTGTTTACTGCAAAAATTTCAAATGGTTTGGATGAACAACAACGGCACTATAAATGTTTTAGTTTTACACGGTAATCAGCCCAAAGCCCGATTTTTTAAAAAGTCATCATACAGAGATATTCTACGTTCAGCAACAAAACAAACATTGCTACAAGATTCATAAGCACAGAGCTGTTTTAAGAAATTTGTGGCCCCTGTACTGATCATTAACGTTTTCAACACATCAATTTGTATTTTTTTAATAATAACAAAATGCAAGGCTTAAGCCGTTCGATTGGGCCCCTGAGTCAGCCGGGCCCCTGTGCTATAGCACAATTAGTACATAGGATAAGAAGGCACTGCATAAGCATCGCTTACCTGTGTTCCGCGTAGTTCTGAGATTATTGGACCAAAGGAAGAGCGAGTCCTGCTAGTCTTGGAAAAACCGTGTTTGCGACAGAACCATGGCTTTTGAAGGCGTCGCTTAAATCTCATTTTGTAGAAGACACTTTTGAGTATTTATCGATGAAGAAGCATCGATGGGTTGCTATATCGTTCTGCGGTAATTCGAGCTGGTTGCTCGAAAATCACCTAGGAAACCGGCCTTTGAAGTTTTTGTTAAAAATGTTCTGACTTAGAAAAACATGGCTAAACATCTTAGCTAGCGACAATTCAGCGCAAGTACACCTGTAGGAGATGGCTTGTATGGGGAAAGGTACATTCGTAACAAGTAGACTATGTTAGAAAATGAGCAACTGCTGGAGAATTTTGCGAATTAATTTAAATACCAATGAATAGTAAAGATAGTTCATTAAGTCTATCAATAGAATATGAATATATCAAAAGGTTGGTTATGTAAGTATGACCACTTGTGAGCGATACTTCTACGAAGGCATTATCACCAAAAGACTTTTTTCAGTTTGGAAAACGGTCAGTGTTACGACATGAAGTGCTGTTAAGTACAGACACTTGTAGTGCATGTATTCAGACATTCAAACGGGTATGTACATCCAGTGCCTGTTGCTTTTTTTGAAAGACACGCAACTGTCACCAAATCTAAGTAGTAACTTCCATTACAATTGCAGATATTATTCGGTGATGCACAGATCAATGGACTTTGGCATTGACTACTCGCACTACACGATTTACCTACATCTGATTGAGTGGAGCATATACTTGTGTTAAGATATGATCCTGACGCACAGGTACAAGTTCCACCACTGCAAACTAGTCCAACGAGATCATTACATAGAGAAGTTGTACAGGAGCCTCCATTTCCAGTTTTGTTTAAACATGTGCTGGTGCCTAAATTATAATATTGATATGTACTACAACCACATACGCCGCTCGATGAGCATACTAATGTACTAGCACATTCAGTTGTTGCTAGTATATTCGTCGTGCAGGTTTGACCATAGGTTGAATAGGCTACGCAACTATTGATTGTCGCATTAAAATAATATGAAGTCGCATTACAGATGCAGATGCCGCCGCTACAGATTGCATTAGTGGGACATGAAGCATTCGTTGTACAGCTTTGACTTAACTTTACCGTGGGTAGACAAATCGAGCCATTCCAGTAATAAGAGGGTGAATTTGTGCAAACGCACAGATTTGTCACTGTACTACACGTTAAACCAACCGTAGTAAGGCAATAAGGCCCTGAGACACCATTGCAACCAACGGTGTAACTTACACGCGCTGCACATTGTGTGTAATTGTAGTAAGCTGTAGATGGACAACTGCATATATTGTTAGTACATACGGAACTAATGGGGGTAGAAAAGAAACATTGTTCAGTCTCTGTACAACTTGATAGATACGACAATTGTGCTACACATTGTGCGCTAGAAGTATTGAAATAATAACCGGGGATGTTACAAGAACATCGCATAGAGAGAGCTACGCAAATTGAGTTAACGATACATTCAGCCGACGAGCTACATGAAACACCAGGAAATTTGCTCGCTTCACACCGAGCTGTAATGAGAGAATAATAATAGTTCGTCGGACACGTACAATTACCACTTGCTGAACATGTCAGAAGTCTAACATCATCACAATACGGTCCAAAAGCTGAACATGCTTGAGATATTGTCGCCTTATTTAAACACGTCGTATTAGAAGGATTATAATATTGTTGATTTGTCCCACACTGACATATGGATGATACACAAATAAGATTAATGACACAATCGGCTGTTTGAACGCACGCTTGGCCGTAAGAAATTGGCGTTATGCATTGCCCCGTTTGAATTGAATATTGAGTACCATTGTTACACTGGCAGGTTTGCAGGGACGTGCAATTTGCATTTGTGATGCACTGATAGGATTGCGTACAAAAGCCACCTATGCGTACTTTACGGTCACATGTGTTGGTTAATACCTGTAGGAAAGCAGAAATACTAAGGTATACAATTTCATTTAATCTCTTTATACCTGATAGAAAAAGTCCGTTGGACATTGGCATAGTCCACCGATGCACACCGCTGTTGAAATACAATTGTAATCAGCGTAACATGAATCTTCATTTGGTAAACCGAGTTTTTGACACAGACCTGTTTGTGTACTGTAAAATTTGGATGAATTACATGCACAGGCACCATTGAGGCATTCAAAAGTGAATGCACATTCTATATCATATTGACAACTAGTAGTATATGTTTTTAACAGTTGACAATTGCCTAATGTTGGACTTGGATAATAGCTAGAGTTACATTCGCATAAGCCATTTGTGCAGTAGGCATTTGTGATACAGTTACTTGTTGCCGCACAAGAACGTCCGATTCCCACTTGTGAAATACAAAGACCAGTTGTACTGTCATAAAAATAGCCGCTACTACAAATACACAAACCGTTGGTACAAGCTGCATTATTCATGCAAATCGAATTTGCACCACAACTTTCAAACAGCGACTTGTGCCGACCACCAAGCCCTATTCCTACTCCCAAAATAGCTGCGAATAACGCCAGTCCCAACAATAATAATGGTATCAGACACCATCGTGGAAATCTAACATGTGGACATGGTCGACTAGGCGTTCTATTGCTTATAGTCTCAGTTATGGGACGTGTTTCTTCGTTAGTCGATTGTTTTATAATAGATCGCCGATAAATAGTGTTATCATCATAACGGGTGATTGGTTCGACGTCATCGTTTGTAGCAATCTCTTGAGCTAAAAAACCGGGCATTATTTCCCACTACTACTTTCTCTTCAATTGTAAAAAAGTAAACTGTAATACGGTAACACAGTTACCATATTATTATTAAAATATAATACCGTATAATATAATAATATTTATTTTTAATAGATATTTCGACATCAAGATGAAAGTTATTAAAATCACACTATGACGTCTAAAAATTGAAGTAATCGAACAAAACATGTATAATATAATAACACATTTTATTCAATACCAGTATATGACTGAAATTGATTTTCTGTTAATGGCACAGCTTCACAGAAAATAGGTTAATGCCGCACAGTGGGCATACAGGCGGGCATTTGGTCGAAAATCGAAAGTAAGCTTTTCTGTGATCTAAATAGTTTCAATTATACAGCGTTAAATGCGCTATCGAATGACGTAAAAACTTTTGTTCTGTGACTTTTTCTTATGGAATTATTCAAAAAAGAAAACACGGTGATGTCAGGGGAAAACGTCAGGAAAACAGACACCAAAGGTGCAACCGGTACCAGTATGAATTATAACGGCGACCGGTATACCGGCATTAGTATGAAGTATAATCAATCGGTGGACATTACTGCTTTTTTGCGGTATGATACCATTTGGCGAAAAATATCGTGTAACTTCAGTTCATCTATGACATATTTCTATAAACAAGGAAAAAGTGTTTGTATTTCGACAAAACATGATCAAGACAGGCCGGTACCGACCGGTACGAAGTTTGTATACTGGTGACAGATACCGGTATCGCATTTTTGATACCGGTTACACCCCAGACAGACACGTACAGTATAATCAAAACGCGCGAGTTAGCGGAGGTGCAATCTTGCTTATTTTTTCACACAAATGTTCCTTATCAAGTATCTGTGCTATAATCACAAAATCTCACAACTTTTTCTCCCGAGAGTTACAGGTTTCCTAAAAACCTTTTGTTTTTGAGGTAATTTCGCAGGTCGTTCGTTCCTGACTCAGGACCCGGTCGGAACCGGCCGGATCCGACGTCGATTCTCGACAAAATTCGTCCCGATCCGTGTTGGATTGCATCCGAATCCTATTACCCGGATTCTGATCGGAAATTGTACGGAAAGGATCCGGCCGTCAGAAATAGCATCGAAAAGCACCGGATTTACGAGTGGTTTTTCTATTCATTAAAAGCTAATATTTAGCCATAAATATTTTTCTTCTTGTTTACTATTTATTTTTTGAATCAGTCCCTGGGATGCAAGGCGTGTGTGACTGACTGTGCCACAAGTCTTCGAACAGCAGTGAGTTTCGATGACTCACACTGTTCAGCACGAAACGTGGAGAATTCCGTTCACTTCCGAGTATCAGATTCGAACAGTTCGATCATAGAATCCGTTGATCGAATCAACCTTACTTCCAGACATTAAAATATAACGAAAGGAACAGAAATTGAACGGAATCCACTCACCGGATCTATGTATATTCGGATTCCACGTTAAAAATGCGTCGACTGATATGTCTAAGAACTATTTTTGAGGAAAAAGTTTTTCGGCAAAACCTTAGAGCAAGGGTCCCCCTCAGAGATTTTTCATCTAAAAAGTTTTTTTCGAGTTCCGATTTTTGTGATTTATAATAACATTTCAAACGTAATAAAGTACTATTGAGCAAAAAAATAGTCTCTGTCTGAATTAAAAAACCATATGTCCGCCTGTACTATAGAAAAATGCCCACTGTATGCCGAGTTTAAAAGGCTTGATGTAAGAATGATTGAACACTATAATTCGCTCTAATGGTTCTATCTACGATGTAAATGCTGTTCTCGACGCTAAATTGCAATTAAACGTTACAGCTTATAAACAATACGATACCGTTCGACTAAGTGCTATGTTTGTTTTTTCATACGGTCCCACTTTTGCTATACTTTCTGCATTCACGTAGTATTATTTCACGGCAAAAATATTTTGAACCAGTTTAATATGTCGATAACAGAAGCGACAAATGAAATACACGGAAAGTTAATGGCATCGTTTTTATATTATTGTTACCTCTCGATAGTGTGCAAGCAGTATCGAATCAACAAATTACTCTCGGTGTTATCTGCGAATTAGTGGCTGGGTACTTGATGACTGGCAATCCGATTGGTGTGATGACATTCAAAACTTATGGTTACATTACACTCTTTCAAACATTATTATTTCTCCAAGATTTAAAACTCGGTCACTACATGAAAATCCCACTACGTTTGATGTTTGTAGCTCAACTTCTAGGAACACTCATGAGCTGCGTTATTAGTTATGCCGTAACCGATTATACCTTCGTGCATGTCCCAGGTATTTGTACAGATGCTAATGTCAATTGGTCTTGCACAGTAGTAAACCTTTTCTATAGCACAGCGGTGATATGGGGTGCAGTTGGGGCTCGGAGACAGTTTTGGGATAATTCACAATCGTATTATCACATATTTTGGTTTTTCTTGCTTGGTGCTGTATTACCCGTCATCCCTTGGCTTTTGATACGGAAATTTCCAGATACACGATGGTTACACTATATTCAAGTTCTCATCGTATTCACGACTGTCTCCTTTTATTACCGGCGCCTGCCGGAAATTTTTCAACATGGATATTTATAGGACTAGTATTTAATATGTTTATACGAAAATATGCTTTTCATTGGTGGGAAAGATGTGCATATATGACATCATCCGCTCTCAATTGTGGACTGGCGTTTACAGCTTTAGTCATCTTCCTCGCTATACAAAACCAAAATACTTTGTTTCCTAATTGGTGGAGGATGAGTGGCGATTACAAAGATGGCTGTCTATTGTCACATGCAAACTTTTCGGGCGATATCCCATAATACAGTCAATACACAGCGAATCACTTTTACAACGAATTCATAAAGCAAAGCAAAATAATTCTTCCAACTCAGAAATTTCTGAAATTACGTTAATAAAATCAGTTAATTCAAAGACAATAAGTGGAGTCTATACTATTGTATATTATATCCATATGAGTTTAACACTTAACAGATGCCTCGCCAGACCATCAAGAAATCAAGTCACGAATGAAAAATTGACACCTACTGCGTCAGATGATGTACCTTTAAAATTTTTTAGAGAAATGAAAAACTTCGACAATTTTTCGATTTTTTAGGTGTAGCTTCCGAACACCTTTCCGGCAGACCTTAGAATTGCTCTCAGAAAAAATTCGATCCAATTAACTGTAATCAAAGTTCTGCTCCTTCTGATACGCATTATTGAGCACATTTCCGAGTGCCGTTCTACGTTGCCTTGACACTAGAAATCTTATCAGAAAAGCCGTGACAATTGGGCGACTTCTTCGACAATGAGGATCCTATGATGACTCTCTTACCTAGCCACGATCATGCATATACCAGTCGATAGAGAATTTCTCGGGCTACAATTTCACATATATAAAATAGTGCAAAAGGTGTTCTCATAACATCCGGAAATCGCCGTCGCCGCGGATTCGGTGTTAAAATGTTAACACTTTACCACTTTAACATATACGAACTCGCGGCGAGTGTGGGCGAGGGTGGAGAAGTGAGAGTAAAGTAGGTGAAGAAGTGCTCCACCCACATCCTCACCCTCAATTATGCATGTTTACACTTTAACACTGTAACACTTTAACATATAAGAATCCTCGGCGACGGCGATTTCCGGATGATGCCATCCTATGATAAATGTCTCTCACCTAGTCATGACCATACAAACACTATTCGACAAAGAAGTTCTTGGGCTTCGACTTCATATATCTAAAATAGTGAGAAAAGTGTCCTAGGGTACGTTGACATTATAAATACTTTCTGAAAAGCTGTGACAAGTGGACGACTTGTTCGCCGATGCAGAGCCTATGATCAATGTCTCTCACCTAGCCACGGCGATACATGTACCATTGGATAGAGAGGCTAGGTGAGAGACATTGATGATAGGATCCGCATCGGCGAACAAGTCGCCCACTTGTCACGGCTTTACTGAAAGTAGTTCTAATGTGATGGTACCGTACGCCAGCTTTTTCACTACTTTAGATATATGAAACTGTAGCCCAAGAACTTCTCTATCAAACAGTATATGTGGCGTCGTGGCTAGGTGAGAGACATTGATCACAGGATCGGCATCGTTGAGCAAGTCGCCCACTTGTCAAGGCTTTGCTGAAAGTATTTCTAATGTCAACGTAGGGTAGGAAACTTTGCTCGCTATTTCATATATATGAAACTGTAGTGCGAGAAATTCTCTATCGACTGATATATTTATCGTGGTGGCTAGATCGTAAAGCGTGTCATAGATTATCTTAGACTTTTTGACGTAGAAGATTACTTTCTATAGCCGGAGGTATTTCTAAACATACTTCGGCGCAGAACGACTTTTTCCGTACGCATGATACACAGAAATGTAGCGCAGAAAAAGGGCTTTCGTTTGACATATAATGGCTCTCGTAAGGTATAAAACCGAGAGAGACACTGGAAAATGTGATCGATAATATGTATCAGGAGCAGCAGAACTTTGATTACACTTAATTGGATCGAATTTTTTCTGAGAGCAATTCTAAGGTCTGCCGAGTGCCTAGGAATGCAATTCAAAGCAGGATGCAGATTCCATCAAAGAATCGCCGCCATTGTTTTGACAAAATTTGTCGTTTATCTAGAAAATTTCAAAGGCGCATGATCTGATGCACATTTTGACGCTGATTCCAAATATTACCTTACGTTTGTTTTTAAGGGAAGTTTCGATGAATAAAATCGAAAACTCGCGGTCGGTTGGTCATCTTGTTTTCAACTTTTGGCACGTCTGCACCACTTTTAGCACAAAGTGTTTGTGCTCAGTTTGTGGAAAATTGAATTCTCTTTCGCATGTGAGCTTCGAATTGTTAGGGAAATTGGCGAGTCGAAGATGGCATCTTCTCGAAAATTTTGATCCTTCAAAATCCCAATTCTCCAATTGATGTGGGTTTTAAACAATCATTTCCTACTTCGGAAAAATTAGGAACTATGTGATTTTGTTCACTTTTTATCAGACTTTCGAATGAGATGTTGCTCGAATGGGTCGGATAAACAAGGGCGGAGATCCCATGCAAACTCTTGCTGCGAAAAAAATGCATTAGAGTGCGTTTAGATTTTCATACAAACTTACGCGTTTAGCAGAATGTTTTTGGGCGTATTCCCGACGTTCAAAATGAACACGTTAGAGCGCGTTATAATTTAACGCGTCTGAGCGCCCGAAATGTGACAAAAAGTATCCTGCCAAACGGTTTAAGTTTTTAAATTTAAAAAAATACATTTATCACTGATTAACGCGTCCAAAGTTTTAAGAAAACGCGTTTAGCAGTGCGTTTGGTCTAAAGAAATGTCTGCCTCAAATTATAGTCAAAATATCAGAGATGGTTACTTTTCGCAAATCGACGATGGTACTCATTTTGCAGATTCTATAACTCAGCCAGAATAAATGAGAAAGTTGTTTTTTATTTTTCATAACCCCACTTTTGATAGTAGGATATGAAGATCCGAATATGAAATAAAAGGTGTATGTCAATTTTTCACTTGTGAGACCGGTTTTTGGCAAGATACTCTATCGACTGGCGAAGTCTCTTTTAAACCATTAAAATTCGAGTCAATGTAGACCCAGTTCGCCACATAACAGAACTGATTAGTCTAAGTTTGAGTTGTTTAAAGGAGGGCTGGACCTCCCTGGATTTTTACATCATTTTGTTGCCCATGTCGACTTACTTATATCGTGAGACATTTGAACCTTCTAGACACGTTTTTCCCATTTTCTTTTAACTTTTAAAAGTTTATGAAAATTTAAGAGGTTCTTTTAAAAAGTTCACTGCTCACGAAAGAAGCGTGTTCTAATGGTAAGACTGGCTCCGATCGATCGACGAGATCGAACTGCCTATATGGTGAAATTATTACGAACTTTAAATGAAATTCGGCTAACAAAAATTTTGTTTTTTGTGTGAATTTTGACTTTTCAGAAAACTAGTATTTTTTAAGAGCCTTGCTACTGATTGTGTCTCAACAGAGCACGATGAAGAGAAATTTTTGCTGACTAAAACTCTTCCTTAGGTGCCAAATGGGGTACTGAGTGTATTACTTTTTACAGTGTAACGGAAAAATTTTGAGAAAAATTGAATTTAAATATTTAAAATTATTAAAAACCTCAAAATTCAATTTTTCTCAAAATTTTTTCGTTACACTGTAAAAAGTAATACACTTAGTACCCCATTTGGCAGCTAAGGAAGAGTTTTGTCAACAAAAAGTTTTCTCCATCGTGGTTTGTTGAGCTACAATCTGTGGCAAGGTTCTTAAAAAATGCTACTGTCCGTCTCAAAATATAAGACCAGTAGTTGTTTTCTGAATAACTCAAAGACAATAAAAGGTAGAGACTTGCAGTGTTCGGCAGTAGAAAGAGAACAGTTTAATCTATATTTTCATGGGCTAAAGTGTTTTTTGAATAAATTTCTGAAACCGGTTTTTTTCATGGATAGATAGTCTAACGTGTCTTCTTCCAAATAAGATCTAAACAAAAGTTTCATTTTGATTGGTTTAGGAGCTTCTGAAGTTTTTTTCGAGGCCCTGGAACTGCTCTATTCTTCGTCCTGGGACCATCTGAAATCATGAAAACACGGATTATCGAACACGCTGAATCTCGTGGCAATGTTAGTTCTCAGAAGAAAGTGCAAGAACAGAATGAAAACCTGTACTAGGTGATATAACCTATTTTGGACTATTTTCATGAAAAATTAAAAAATTAATAACTCAGTCAAAATCCTATTCTTTTGAAAAGCTAATATACGATTTTGTAGCGCTTGAAAAGCTAATTCGAATGATGTATCGTGTGATTATTTTCAAAAAACTGTTGATTTGCAAATAAAAATGTAAATCTCTGAACTGTCCGTAATCGGCGTTAATTAGGATTAATGAATGATTAATCTGTATTTTTTCTGAAATATCTTAAACGCTATCATAGCTAAAAATGATTCTCGATCAAAGTATGGTAGAATGACGTTTATATAATTAGATTTCATTAAACAGTTAAGTTTTTCAATTTAGGTCCAGCGATTAAATTATTTCCTAAAATTTTATCTTAATTAATCTATAACTTTGTGATTACTTATCGGCTGTCCGAAAACAATGCAGGATATATGCAGTCAAGTATTCTCTACAATCTGAGAAGGTTTAATAGTACCTTTTGAAACGTACGATGACACTAGCGACTTAGGTATAGCTTTCAGTCTCAGCGTATTTTAATCGAACACAATAGAAATTTACTCCTTTTCTTTTTAAATTCTGTATACGTTATATAGCAAAATATAGTTTATGTTCTGTGTATAAGCTTTAAATTTACTGTGGCGCTACTCTTTCCCTAAAACAATTCATAATATTTTCCTAGTTTCTACTAATAAACTGAATCTCGTATTGAAAGACATAGCATGTGTAGCAATCTTTACTGTAGCTTTCAAACTTTGGTTAGAGGTTTGGTAGCAGATTTTTATTGGCTTTTAATCCAAACTAATGACCGAATATCACGGATCATCAGGTTTATACTTCTTCTACTACAAAGGTTGTTGTTTTTTTTATATCAGATTGTATTATCCAACTGTTTTCATTTCTTAAATAAAAAAATATCTGCTCTTTATAAATGTTATTTTGGCCTTACTTTGTATCCGCTCTGTTGTGGTATTTCTTCGTACATATTATTTTATCTCACTTAATTAAAACAAAAGATGTTCAACAACATTGGAAAAGAACTAATATTGGTGTATCATTTATCAATTCTGTGACATGTTCGACATGGACTATATATTGGTAGGCTATTTACTATTTATTAACGTTTCTTTTCATTTTAAATTGTAAATAATCGGTATTCATTTTTCTCGTTGATTGATTATACATTTTATATTATCTAATTTTTCATAGTTACATAGAAAATCCACAATGGAATGAAAATATCAAATTATCATTTACATCAACTGCTTATGCTTTAGTTTCATTTGAAGTCGGTTCGTATTGACATTTTTTATTTTTTTACAAAAAAAAAAAAAAATCATTAAAAATAAATATATCTTTAGGATATTTTGTTTATGATGCACTGGATCTATTAATACATAAGAAACAAAACATGTTGACTCATAATACAAATGAAATTCTGTTACATCATGCTATTGTAAGTAGATATAGAAAAGAAATTTATTGCGATATGAGTGAACATAAATGAAGATAGAATAAAACAAAAAATTTGTGACACTAATATAAATCATATCGGTAATTGTTGTTGTTTCTTTTATACAATTGTTATTTTTCTATTTCTAGGTTTTACTCTCTTTTGCACCAGTAATATATTTAGAAAACTATACTTATCTTGCCATTGTGGCTTTAGGAGTTGAAATAAATAGTATTTTTATACATTTTCGTCAAATTCTTTTATTTTTGGATTTAAAACAGACAATTATGTATAGAATTAATTTTTTTATCAACATGGGTAAATATTTAATTCAAAATATATATATAAAAACAAATAAAAATGTCAAATAAATTATATTTTATATTATCATTTTTTTTAGGAACATTTATTATATTTCGATTTGTGGGTGTTGGATGGATGATAAAATGGTTTATTATAAATCGTTTAGATGTACCAGTTATGTTAAATTTGTTTATAACATCTGGATTAATCCTTATGACTATAATTAATGTTATATTAATTTATCGATTAATACTACGTGATTTTATTCAATCATCAGCAACAATAAAAAATAAACATGAACTATCAAAAGATCATTAAAACGAATTTGTATATATATATATATGTATATTTTGTTTTTTTATAAAGTGTGATTATTATCTATTTTTTTTTCTTTCGTCCATTGTGTTTTTCACATTAACAGTGATAATTATAACGTTTTTTGTGATCTTTTTTACACGATCAGTATTGGAGTGTTTTGTTTTTTTATATTAAATTTTTCGTACATATTATTCATGCTCATTGTCGTTATATACACACATAATTCCGAACCAAATTTCTATATTGAAATTATACCGTTGTAAATCAAAAACATATTTTATATTGTTTTTGTTTTGTGTTTTTTTTTTTGTTTTTTATAAAAATTAAACACATCGATTTAAATTGAACAGATTAAACAGATCAGGAATATAGTGAATACACTTTTTTGTTTTCTTCTTTCTCACGCGCTGTTTCGCTGTAAAAACGATAAATGTTTTTTCTTTCACTATCTCATTTATTTGATCTTGTTTGATGTTTTTCTTTTATTGTTCATTTTGTTGTTGTTTTTTCTTTAAATTTAAATATTCCGTTTATTTTATATACATAATGTATGAATATATAGTTAGATCATACATTAATCTACTCATGTATTATGAGAAATAGATTCACATTATTTGTTAATAAAATTTATTTAATTAATTTAAAACATAAAATATATTTGAGAAAAACAAATATTGAACGTATTTTATCATCATCTCGTCTTATATATTCAAATATAGTAAAACATAATTTAACATGTTTTCTATCATTCTTTTATATAACGTAAAACTGAATTATTTTTTTACGATTCCATTATTCAACAAGAAATTGTTAAAATTTTATGGCATAAATCAAAATTAAAATCACCGAAAGAATAAAGACGAAACGTCTCAATTTGAAATGGTCATTTCAACATGTAAAAGGTGATTTTAATCTTGATTTATGCCATAAAATTTTTCACCTTAAATAAAGAATCAATTGTTAAAATTTTGTTATTAGTTTGAGAAATAAAAACTAATTAGACTTAATTAATAATTTTCAGATACTGATCAAACTTTGTTATATTGTTAAAACACATTTTTTGAAGTCGTTTTTTAATTATTACTAATATCGTTTGAATGCTGAATAAACACATGTTTTTCGATGATGCGTTGTACCAAAATGGTTTTTATTGAAACTTTCAGAATATTCTAATGATGATTAGGTCGATCTACGGGCAAAACTTCATTATCAGTCACAAAATTTTACATTGTCAGAGATACTGAGAAGATATAAAGTTTGCCCTAAAATGTTTTTAGTTATGAAAACGGTATACTGATAGATGATATCTTTTAGATTTTTATTCACTTTATTTCCTTTAGTCTTTTACTGTGTTATTATTAAGTCACATTATCAGATACAAGTCGTAGTTAATAACAGTATGATTATATTTATATATAAACACGTGTTTAAGACATAAATCAAAAAATAATCATGCACCACATTGCAAAGTATATAATGTTTTTTAGAGTACAATATTACATACTTTGCAACGTGCTGCATGTATATTTTTGGATTCAAACACATGTTTATATATATATTATATATATAATATATAGTCATACTGTTATTAATTACGACCTTGGCTCACATGTATCCAAACGTGTTTATCCAAGGTTGTGCTATGAGAAAAAAAAATGCTAGAAATTCAATTTTACACACTATTATCTCTAGATTCAAAACTCTGAGAAATGTTTCCTTTATGGAAAATCCAGTTGTATGGGAGTTTTCCAACT